GATAGTAACCATACCTTAGCAGCAACGATCCCGTGGCTGTGCTGGTGCCCTTTGCACGAGCTGTTCCCCGGCTCAGCTGCCCTGCTGTGGGGAAAAGTCATGCTGCGGCTTGCGATGGGTTGTTCACTGGCTTCAGAGTCCTAGCAATAGAGATGTCCTGTCTTCATGACTTCCAAACAGGGCAGAGCAAATTCACATAGACAGAAGAGTCATGCCATCAGCAGGCTGTCAGGGGAGTACCGGCGTTCATTTTATTTACTTGTTTATTTATTTAATGCTCAACAAAATATTTATCTTCTTTAGATGACAAGTAGACAGTCTTACTCGCAATAGAAAAATATGTATAAAACATTTCCTAACCATTAACTGAGGGTAGCAGGGATTCAAAATGATTATAATTATCCACTGGGGACTATGATTTTTTAATTTAATTTATTTTATTAACTTTTAAAATTTATTTTACATCCTGACCACAGTTTCCCCTCTCTCTTTTCCTCCTGCTTTCTCCCCTGACTCCCATCTAACCCCTCCCCATTCATTCCTCTCCATTCACAAGGGACAGGCCTCCCATGGGCTTGCACAAAGCATGGCACATCTAGTTGAAGTCTTTGCAGGATAATCCAGCAGGAGAAGAGGTTCCCAAAGATCCAGTTAAGCCCAGGGACAGGCCCTGACTCACTGCTAGGAGCCTTACAAACAGACCGAGCTATGCAGCTGTCACAGACATGCAGAAGCCCTAGGTCGGTCCCATGCAGGCTCCCATGTGCTCCCATGAACTCAGGTCAGCTGCCTCTGTGGGTTCCACCATCATTACCTTGCCCCTTGCTCCCCGGCCTCGGGCTTGTACTATCCCTTTTCCCTTTCTTTAGGAGGACTCCCGGAGCACAACCCAGTGCTTGGCTGTGCATCTCTGCATCTGCTTCCATCAGTTACTGAGTAAAGGCTCTCTGATGACAGTTAGGGTATTTATCTATCTGATTACAGGAGAAAGCCAGTTCAGGTACCCTCTCCTCTATTGGTAGGAGTCTTAGCTGGGGGTCATCCTTGTGGCTTCCTGGGAGTTTCTCTGGCACCAGGTCTCTCTCTAACCCCAAAATGCCTCTCATCAGGTTGTCTCTTTCCTTACTGTCCCCTTAGTCATACACCCAACCCACCTACCTTAAGTTTCTCTCTCCACCCCGTACCCCCACCTCTGCCTCCAGTTTCCCCAGGAGATCTCTTCTATTTCCCTTTCCTGGGGAAATCCATGTATCCTTCTTTGTGCCCTCCTTGTTATCTAGCATCTCTGGGGTTGTGGACTGTAGGTCGGGTATCCTGTACTTTACTCCTAATACCTACTTATGAGTGAGTGCACACCATGTCTGTCTTTCTGGGTCTGGGTTACCTCACTCAGAATGATTTTCTTCTAGTTCCATCCATTTGCTTGAACATTTTATGAGGTCATTGTTTTTTTTTTTTCAGCTGAGTTATACATTACTGTGTAGATGTACCACGTTTTCCTTATCCATTCTTTGGTTGAGGGGCATCTAGGTTGTTTCTAGGTTCTGGCTGTTACAATAATGCTGCTATGAACATTGTTGAGCAAGTGTCCTTGCGGTGTGATTCACCACCTTTTGAGTATATGTCCAAGACTGGTATAGCTGGGTCTTGAAATAGATAATTCCCACTTTTCTGAGAAACTGTCATATTTATTTCCAAAGTGGTTGTACAAGTTTGCACTCCCACCAGCAGTGGAGGAGTGTTTCCCTTACTCCACATCTTCTCCAACATAAACGGTCATCAGTGTTTCTGATTTTAATCATTCTGACAGGTGTAAGATGGTATTTCACAATCATTTTGATTTGTATTTCCCCGAGGACTAAGGATGTTGAACAATTATTTAAGTCTATTTCGGCCACTCTTTTTTTTTTTTTTTTTTTTTGAAATTCTTCTGTTGAAAATTCTCTGCTTAGATCTGTATCACATGTTTTAATTGGATTATTTGGTATTTTGGTGTCTAGTTTCTTGAGTTCTTTATATATTTTGGAGATCATCCTTTTCTCTGATGTATGGTTGGTAAAGATCTTTCCCATTCTGTAGGCTGCCATTTTGTCTTGTTGACCATGTCCTTTGCCTTACAGAAGGTTTTTAGTTTCAGGAGGTCGTATTTATTAATTGTCAACCTCAGACTCTATTTTACTGATGTTATTACATTCAGAAGTGGTCTCCTGCGCCAATGAGTTTGAGGCTACTTCCCACTTTCTCTCCTGTCAGCTTCAGTGTAACTGGGTTTATATTGAGGTCTTTGATCCACTTTGACTTGAGCTTGGCACAGAGCTACAGATGTGCTAATAGATGGATCTATTAGCATTCTTCTGCATGCCGCCATCCAGTGATGCCATGGTGTGCAGGGCTACAGTTATGGATCTATTTGCATTCTTCTGCATGCCGCCATCCAGTGATGCCACGGTGCTCATTTTTGATCTCTCATCCAAAGAACAGCCTTTCAAAAAGGCAAATGGAATTTTCAGTGAATCCAGGATCAATGTCTTATGAACCCAAGTCAGTTGAGTTGGCAGTGGTGATGTTAGCCCTTCTCTGCCGTAAGAACAATCAAGACGTCTGTGGTGGTTTGAGATCTGAATTGAACTCTTGGTTCCAAGCTGATGGCACCATTTAAAGAGCTTATGGAGCCCTCAGGAGGTACAGCTTTGCTGGAGAAAAGCACTGAGCTGGGAGTGGGTTTTGAGGGTTCACAGCCTCTCCCCACTTCTACCTTATTCTCTTTGCTTCCTGCTTGCCATTGAAGATGTGATGCCCCACCTCCCCACGCTGTCTGTCTGTCTGCTGCCCTGGCTCCCTTCAAGCCCAAATAAACTCTTCCTTAAGTTGTCTTTGCTCAGGTATTTTATCATGGCGACAGAAAGAAAGTGATACAACTTCTTTCTACGTTGCTGAGGTTCCAAGGCCTAAGCTTGGAATTATCTGTTTACCCAGCTCCTACAGACTGAGCACTGGCTGTGTGCCAGGGTGTGTGAAAAGCATCAGACACATAGCCATGACCATGACAAACCCTGAGTCTCAGAGGGGGCCTAGAAGGGGCAGGTAGTGCGTGAATCAGAAAACTTTACCTGGTGATTGCTACCATGAAGAAGTTAAGCAAGGCGGCACAGTTTAGGTGACTGTGAGGTCATGTTTGGTTGTTGGGAGATGATATTTACATTGGGAAGGGAGTGATGGAGAGTGATTTGTATGCCAAGATCTGGAACACACCCCTGTGGACTCTCAGGAAGAAATGGAACAGTAGCTGAGCAGATTCCCAGACAAAAGGGTGGCCAGTGTGCCTGGAGAGAGAGGGGTGTGAGGTAGAAATGGGTGGAGAGAGCCCAGATCTTTTTTTAGTACAAAGGAGAATAGGGTTTTAAGGGAAGTGAGAAGCCATTGGCTACTTGCTTGATGTTTCTGTCTATATCACAGTTTAAAAAAAAAGGCTAGAAAGCCAGGTGTCATGTTGCAGAATTGTAAACCCAGCAATGGGAGGCCAAGGAGGGGTGCTGTGCTGTCAGAGGGCTATACCCCATGTTTCCAGGTCCTAGCTCCAGTCAGGGAAGTAAAATAAAGGCATGCACAGCTTGCAATGCAACAAGGAAACTGCTCCAAAAGTATGATGACTACAGAAGCAAAGACGTTGTCACGAGTGACAGTGGGCTACCTGAGTGACAGTGCCCAAGGACCCCAGGTCTTAGGGCGAAGGAGGTATTGTTGCTAAGAAACGTACCATGCACAGGTCTTTATTTTGATTGACAGATTGAACTCGTACAACCTTTTCTACACTGCACCTGCCCCTTCCCAGAGAGCATCTGCTTTTAATCCTGCACATGCCTGGTTATACAGAGGCATAAGATGGCAAACAAGGTTTCTCATCGAAGTTCATTTAGAGGGTGTGATGTGCCTTACTGTGCACACCCTCAGAACTAACTTAGGCCATGTGAGGCCCAGTCCCTTCTAACTGGCGTGTGACTGAGTGGAAACTGCCCACAATGGATGATGAGCTGGCGGCAATGATATGATTAGCTTAGTCTTGCCGACTGAGGGCAGCTCCGAGACTAAGTTCACCTGAGAGAGTTTAGGATTCTGAAGGAGGGTCTGGAATATACTGCTCAGGGTGGAATATGGAAGGCAGCTTATGTCTCTTAGGCAACAAAAGAAGCCCAAGAAAGGAGAACAATGTTGGGAGAGGGGGCACCGAAAACCGCTTAGACCCCAGACAATTCAAGATTTCGCCAAGAGCCTTGGGAGCCTGGTGTGAACACGTTGCAGAAGAAACCCTGTCATTTAAGCTTGGAGGGCTGGCAAGTTAGGGCAGCTGCGCTTTTGGTGACCTATTATTCATGTAGCATCTCACATAAAAGCGCACAGACTTTTAAGAGAGCAATGAGGCAATGAGTGACTTGTGACTAGGATTTTTACAGTGTGTGTGTGTGTGTGTGAGAGAGAGAGAGAGAGAGAGAGAGAAAGAGAGAGAGAGAGATTACAGACCTTATACATGCAAATAGCCTGGAGTCTGAATAACTACCATTATCACGAAGGAGGGGCTGTTGATGAATTAGCGTGGAAATTTGGTTTTTGCGCCTCAGAACCCACAGCGCTGACAGGGGGACAGGGCCTTTTTGGCTGCTTCTCTCCATCTTAAGCCTTTCTGATTAGAAGATGGCCTGATACTTAGGGCTGATATAAATAATGATTAGTTTTAAACCCTCACACATCTACTCCCACTTTCATATGATCTGCTTCTTTGTCAATGATTATTAATGAAAAATAAATTTTGAAGTTCCAGAGTTTAACGCTAAGGAGATACGTATCTCCTCCTGCGTTTTCTCCTGACCTCAAAGTGGCTCTTTAGAGGCTGGTAAGGCTGATAGAATCTCAAACACTGTGTCACCAAGAATGGGGGCTGGTCCTTAGTGACACCATAGCATAATGCATTTGTGACATCATGTTATTTTCATAGTAGTGACAGTCACAATGTCTGTTCACTGCTGAGTTATTGAGGAACGGCACAGAGGGAGGTGAGTCAGATGGCCATAGAGCCCATGTCTGGAATCTGGAAGGGGTTTGCTTAAGTTTATCATTTGAAAGTGTGTATTCTATACAGGTCAAGGAATACAGACATGCACACATGTGTATATGGGCCTACATATATACGTGTAAAGCCATAGCCTCTCCTTACTATGCTTGTATCCATACATATATTGGTATCTGACCCTCAAGAGTTTTGGTGTTACTTTGGTATTCATCTTTAAGTCATTTAAGCACGTGGTAGCAAGTCATCAAGCACCTCAGTGTCCTGAGCTTGCCAGCAGTGAATGCACCCGTGTTCTCCCCTTCCCAGTGGAATCTGGGCTAAGTGAAGACCCAGACAAAGGCAGGGTCACACACACTGCTGCCCAGTCTCCTGCGTCTTCTGCCCTCGCACATTGGCTCATTTGAAAAACGCTTCTGTATTATGAAACTGTGTGAGCATGCCCTGTAGAGGCCATCAAGGGAGGCCTCCTCTTAAGGCCAGCATCGGTGTGCCAAGCACGCGGTGGCCTCCTGTGGGAAGGGGTTCTCTCCACCTCTGCCAAGTTTCCTGACATCTGAGACTCCACTAGCAAACTGCCTGAATTTTATGATTAACCTTGACCTGGGGTCACACAATCAATCTGTATTTTTGGATTCTAGAATCGTAGAACTGGTTAGGAGATAATAGGTGTTTACTATTGTCTTAAGCCACAGAATTTTGTGTTAATTTGTTGCATTAGGTAATGAACATGCTTGTAGCTACGGTTTCTGCATTTCTCTCTGTTGGGAGGCACGGGACGCTCTTCCTTCGCTGCTGTGTACATACTGGGGCAGTGTCGTGCATGAGGGAGAACTGAGCTAGCCCTGCAGTGTGGTGGTGTTATTGCCGTCTCTTTCAGGGTCCCCGGATCCTTATCTGCTGCTTCTGGGTTCCCAAGAAAGAAAAGAAGGAAGCCATTAATTCACAGTCTTCATTAGTACTCTATTGGCTTTGGATCTTAGCTCTCTTTTCTAATTAGTGAATTTCGCTTAAATCTGAGTTAGGGCTGAAATCCCCAAAGTTCCTTTCATCAGCTGTTTCCTTCCCTCCTTTCCTGGGGAATCTTGTTCCTGATCTTCAGTTTCTGCTAGTGTAGAAGCTTGCTTAGAAATGCACCAGCCTAAAATCCAGAATAATAGAGAGGACACACAAGGTCTACAGCCCCCCACAGTAAGCAAACCTGCAGATAATCCTGACAGCTTAAACCTTCAATTCTTACCATAAAATGGATCAAGTTTGTGAAGCAATACGTATGTTATAGTCTGGCTTTGCCATTCTACAATGTATCCATACGTGAAAAAATCCTTTACATACTTTGATAATTAAAAAAATCTAGAAGAAAACCCTTCAAATCTACTAATAAAGCCTCTCCAATTTATATTTAGCCAATTCTTTCTACCAAAGAAGCCCTTTCTCTCCCCTCCCAGTGAGAACTTTGATCTTTAACTAGGAAACCCAGAGATCTGGGTATGGTGACATGTGTCCACAATTCCACTGTCTGGGAGGCTGATGTAGAAGGATTCTGACAGAGGCCAGCCGAGGATCTGTAAGGAGTTTAAAGCTAGCCTGGGCTGCATAATGAATTTTGAAAAGAAAAGAAACCAAGAGAAAAGATAAAGAAGAAAAGAAAGAAAAAAAAAAGAAAAGAAATGAAAAGAAAAATAGCCATCTCATCTAGCCTTCTAAGATATTTGGGTGAGATGTTTGTCTCTCTTATTTCATCCACCTGTTCGCTAGCCCTAGCGGGCTGTCTGCTCTGTGCCAGGCACTGTTCTAATAGTCCTTCAGATGTGCCAGAGAACAGCACAAAGGACTTTGTAAAGTTTGCAAGTCAGATAGCAAAGAGGGCTCAGTAGCAGGCAGGTTGTTTGTTACCTGTGAAAGTGTGAGGCAAGGGTACAGCCAGGACGGGGAATCTGGATCCCTGCTGCCGAGTTACGCCAGAGGGCCAGCTGTGCTGTCCACTGTGTGGGCACAGTCGACACGGTGAAAGGGTGATCCTCGGGAAGTCCCCAAGAGAAAAGCCAGGTGTGACGCTTGGCTTTCATTGTCTGCTCAACATGACCTAGACTCGTCTGGGAAGAGTCTCAGTGAGGACTGTCTACGGTGGGGATTGTCTTAAGTTAGCTGATGTACGGGGATCTGACTGTCTGTGGGCAAGACCAGTCCCTAGGCAGCGCTTCTGAATGGTTTGAGTGGCAGAATCAAGCTGGGCACAATAAGCAAGCGAGCAGGCACGCATGTGAGCAGGCACGTGTGTAAGAAGGCATGTATGTGAGCAGGAATGCATGTGAGTGGGCACGTGTGTTAGCAGGCATGCGTGTGAACAGGTGCATGTGTAAGCAGGCATGTGTGAGCAGTAATGTGTGTGAGCGGGCATGTGTGTGAGCAGGCATACATGTGAGCAGACATATGTGTTAGCAGGCACGTGTGTGAGCAGGCACATGTGTTAGCAGGCATGCGTGTGAGCAGGAATGTGTGT